TGAAAGATAGAGAGATGCCCTCTGAATGTCACATACAAGGCTAAATTATTCACACTGACAGGGTCAACAGGAAGGTGGTGGAGTAGCGATGTATGTCAGAGACAATGTAAATTGTTGTGTTAGACAAAAATTTTAAATTAGAAGCGTCAGCCACTGAATCTGTTTGGTTACAGCTTCTCGAGGGCAGAGAAAAACTAATTTTGGGTGTGATTTACAGGGCCCCAAAAATCTTGATAGGGAGGCAGTAAACTTCTATGGGACGAAATTCGTAAGGAAACTACATACGAAAATGTTGTGCTAATGGGAGATTTCAACTATAGACAGATTGACTGGAGCAATTTGACAGGAAATTTAGAGTCAGGTGACTTTCTTGTACGATCCAGGATTGTTTTTAAAACGTTTGTGACAGAGCCAACTGGGGGAAATAACCTCCTTGACTTGGTTCTTGCCAGTAGGAACACTAATTAATAATCTTGAGGTTAATGATGAGCTTGGGGAAAGTGATCACAAATCACTCAGTTTTAATATATCATGGAATTCCCTAATAATGGCAATCAAGTCTCCATCCCTGACTTTCGCTTGGCTGATTTCATAGGACTGAAAAAAACTTAGGTGGGCTGAACTGGAATGACCTGACTAAGGGTCAGGTTAGGTGGTGAGGGTTGCCGAATGATGCTTTCCAGGGCCCATAGTTCTAGCTGCTCAGTCAAATTATGTTCCAAATAGGGAAAATCAGATCAAACAAAAATGATCCTAAATGGATGAACAATAGATAAAATATCTGATTGGTCAAAAGGGGAGGCATATATAGGCAAATCAAAAGAGAGAGGGGCAATTGAGAAATCGATATTTCCCAGTTAAAGAGAGAAATAAAAAAGGGAATTAGAAAAGCAAAAAGAGATTATGAGGTTAAAGTTGCAAGAGAATCGAAGCTAACCCAAAAGGATTCTTTCAGGATACAGAAGTAAGATCAGGACAAGATAGGCCCACTCAAAAGTTCCTCGGGTCAGCTCACTGACAGTGATAAGGAAAAGTGTAGAATTTTTAACACATACTTCCTCTCAGTTTTACACAGGAGATACCAGCGAAATTCCAGTAATGATAAATTATGTAGAACAGGACGATAATAAACTGTGTACTATTAGGGTCACAAGTGACATGGTCCTTAGGCAAATAGATAAATTAAAACCTAACAAATCCCCAGGCCCTGATGAACTGTAATGCAAGGGTTCTAAAGGAATGTAAAGAGGAGGGTTAGCACACCTTTGGCCCAATCTTTTCAACATATCACTACAAACTGGCATGGTGCCAGATAAGTGGAAAATGGCAAATGTGATACCTATTTTCAAAACAGGTGACAGGTCCTTAGCTTCGAAAATAAGACCAATAAGCCTAACCTCCATATGGGAAAATTTATGGAATCAATAAAATTTCCGAGGCAGTTTCGTAGCACCTTGAAAAGCATAAATTAATCAACGAATCTCAGCATGGTTTTACAAAGGGGCCCTTCCTGCCTTACGAATTTATTAACTTTTTTCACTAAGGTATTTGAGGAGGTAGATCATGGTAATGAATATGATATTGTGTATTGGACTTCAGTAAGGCTTTTGACAGGGTCCCACACAGAGACTATTGAGGAAAAATTTAAAGCACATGGAATAGGAGGAGAAATTTTTCCTGGATAGGCATGGTTGACAAAATAGGCAGCAGAGGGTTTGCATAAAAAGGGGAGAAATCAGAGTGGGGAAGTGTCACAGCGGTGTTCCACAGGGTCAGTGTTGGGCCCCCTGCTGTTCACAATCTACATAAACGACAAAAGATGAGGGCATAAAGAGCGACATCGGCAAGTTTTTCCGTGACACCAAAATAGGCCGTCGAATTCATTCTGACGAGGACATTCGAGCACTCCAGGAAGATTTGAATAGACTGATGCAGTGGTCGGAGAAGTGGCAGATGCAGTTTAATATAGACAAATGCAAAGTTCTAAATGTTGGACAGGACAATAACCATGCCACATATAAACTAAATAATGTAGATCTTAATATTACGGATTGCGAAAAAGATTTAGGAGTTCTGGTTAGCAGTAATCTGAAACCAAGACAACAGTGCATAAGTGTTCGCAATAAAGCTAATAGAATCCTTGGCTTCATATCAAGAAGCATAAATAATAGGAGTCCTCAGGTTGTTCTTCAACTCTATACATCCTTGGTTAGGCCTCATTTAGATTATGCTGCACAGTTTTGGTCACCTTATTACAGAATGGATATAAATTCTCTGGAAAATGTACAAAGGAGGATGACAAAGTTGATCCCATGTATCAGAAACCTTCCCTATGAGGATAGACTAAGGGCCCTGAATCTGCACTCTCTAGAAAGACGTAGAATTAGGGGGATATGATTGAGGTGTATAAATGGAAGACAGGAATAAATAAAGGGGATGTAAATAGTGTGCTGAAAATATCTAGCCTAGACAGGACTCGCAGCAATGGTTTTTAAGTTGGAAAAATTCAGATTCAGGAAGGATATAGGAAAGTACTGGTTTGGTAATAGAGTTGTGGATGAGTGGAACAAACTCCCAAGTACCGTTATAGAGGCCAGAACGTTGTGTAGCTTTAAAAATAGGTTGGATAAATACATGAGTGGATGTGGGTGGGTGTGAGTTAGACCTGATAGCTTGTGCTACCAGGTCGGTTTTCCGTGTTCCTCCCTTAAGTCAATGTGACCTGACCTGACTAGGTTGGGTGCATTGGCTTAAGCCGGTAGGAGACTTGGACCTGCCTCGCATGGGCCAGTAGGCCTTCTGCAGTGTTCCTTCGTTCTTATAAATGTTAAACCTAAAACCCAATCTAACTTTATTATTTTTTAAATACACTACCTAACAGAATACTCCATTCTACTGAATTTACAACAATGCATGCAACCATATGACCTGTCTTTGTAATACTCACTTGTGCTTTATAGTAATCTGTTTACATTAATGTTTTTCACTGATTTCATCATTGCTTAGTTAATCTTAAGTTAATTTTAAGCCAGCCCGTAATGCTATGCATAGTATAAGTGGCTTTGGCATGCTGCTCTTATCTGTATTTTTTTGTACCTCTGTAAGTGTGCTCAAATTATAAATAAATAAATAAATAAATAAATAAATAAATAACCACACTTTTTCTTCGTAAAAAATATACACTTTGAACCTACTACTGTAACTAATGGATTGTCTTGGGAAAAGTTGTTATAATAATAATAATAATAATAATAATAATAATAATAATAATAATAATAATAATAATAATAATAATAATAATAATAATAATTATTATTATTATTATTATTATTATTATTATTATTATTCATATTAGTAACAAGGAGATTTAATAGACAAGAAAAGCCGTGATGTAATTCCACTGGTGTACTTTTTTGTAGGTCCTCCCTAGGATTAGAGATATTTTCTTGGGGTTTTTAACCTGGAGGGTTAGCCACCTAGTATAATCCTAGAAAGTCAGTAAGCCATCGAGGACTTTCTATCTTATTTCCATTGTGGTCCTTTAATCTTGTCCCCCAGGATGCGACCCACAACAGTCGACTAACACCCAGGTATCTACTTACTGCTAGGTGAACAGTAACTGCAGGTGTAAGGTAACATGACCAATGTTTCCAACCTTGCCGGGGATTGAACCATGGACATACAGTACTGGCAGAAGATTATGACAGAAATAATGGTAGCAGAGGCTGACATATAGTGGTGGCAGATGCTGACAGATACACTAGGCTGGAATATTGCTGCACATTAACTGCTTCCTTTCAAAGCAGGCAAAATTGCAGACCTAGAGAATGTACAGAGAACTTTTACGGAACGTATAAGTACAATAAAGCACCTAAACTACTGGGAACGGTTGAAGTCCCTTGATTTGTACTTCCTGAAACGCAGGCGAGAAAGATACATGATAATATACACTTGGAAAATCCTAGAGGGACTAGTCTCAAATTCGCACACGAAAATCACTCCCTACGAAAGCAAAAGACTGGGCAGGAGATGCAACATCCCCCCAGTGAAAAGCAAGGGTGTCATGAGTATGCTAAGAGACAACACAATAAGTGTTAGGGGCCCAAGACTTTTCAACCGACTCCCAGCATACATAAGGGGGATTGCAAATAGACCCCTGGCTGTCGTCAAAAAGGTTCTGGACAGTTACCTAAAGTCAGTACCTGACCAGTCGGTCTGTGGTTCGTACTTCGGTTTGCGCACGGCCAACAGTAACAGCCTGGTTGATCAGGCTCTGAGCCACCACGAGGCCTGGTCACAGACCGGGCCACGGGAACGTTGATCCCCGAAACCCTCTCCAGGTATACTATCTTGACAGATATAGTAGTGACAGATGCTGACATATACTTGTGATATGTATGACAACTGTACTTATGTGCACCTGTGCCTAAACAAACTTACTTACGTATTAGTGAGAGATGCTGACAGATATACCAGTAACAGAAAACGCTGACAGAGTAATGAAATGATGACAGATACAGTAGTGACATACTGACAGTTTTAGTGGTGAAAGATGCTGATAGATTATAGTAGTGACAAAAAGAGCTGAAAAATAGTGACAGAATGCTGACAGTTTGGTGACATGTTGCGATTAAAGTGACAGAAAATTCTGACAGGTACAGTAATGACAGTCTGACAGATTTAGTAGTGAAAGAAGATGCTGACAGATTATAGTGTTTCAAGTCACAGAGTAGTTTCGTTCCCAGTGTTTCAACTTACAAACTGAAACACTGGGAGTTGTTTATTTAAAAAAACAATAGCAGAAAAGATGGTTTTTCTTTCGCTCAAGTTTATACTACGGATGGGCTGTTGTAATAACTGAAATATTTCCTAAATGCCCAAGTCGAAAATACAGATACATGTGTATCCTGGAGTTCTGTATCATTAATCAAAGTCTGCAATAAAATATGGTATATCAGAATAAAAATGTTTAGTTTTAATAAAAATATGCAATAACCTACCCATAATGAAGAGACTGGAAGCAGCTTTAATGTAAGCACCATTTATCCAGGTAGGTAGTTCTTTAAGTTCTACACCATTTATTGTGACCTCTCTGTCTTGCTTCAGTCGTATGACAGTACCATCCAGACGCACCGTCACTGATTTAGTGCAAGACGGGAACTGACTCACCACAGATGCTGGGAAGTTCATACTCTGTCATCAAAAGAAACATATTGTTAATCATATAAATAAGGTGGGTCTTAACCATACATACATGCATAATGTATATACAAAAATACACACACACACTAAGGGAAATCGGTCTGACAACACTGGAGGACAGGAGGGTCAGGGGAGACATGATAACGACATACAAATACAAAATACTGTGTGGAATAGACAAGGTGGACAGAGACAGGATGTTCCAGAGATGGGACACAGAAACAAGGGGTCACAATTGGAAGCTGAAGACTCAGATGAGTCAGAGGGATGTTAGGAAGTATTTCTTCAGTCATAGAGTAGTTGGGAAGTGGAATAGTCTGGCAAGCGATGTAGTGGAGGCAGGAACTATACATAGTTTTAAGACGAGGTATGATAAAGCTCATGGAGCAGGGGAAGAGAGTACCTAGTAGCGGTCGGTGAAGAGGCGGGGCCAGTAGCTGAGTCTCGATCCCTGCAACCACAATTAGGTGAGTACAATTAGGGGAGTACACTTTGGGGCCCAGTCCCTGGACCCATTATGTACCTCTAATGTTTTGACTACCGCCCCCAGGTTGGGTATGGGGTGCATAATAAACATATTAAATTAAAAAAAAAACACTATAAGTGCGCGCGTGTGTGTGTATCCCTATGTGACGCCTTAGATCACTCAGCTACAGATGTCTCAAAATGCTAGGTAGCCTGATTACAATGCATGTTTGTGTGCCCAACGCTAAGAAACATGGCTTCTAACCAGGCTACCTAGCGTTTTGAGGCATCTGTAGCTGAGTGATCTAAGGCGTCACACAGGGAACTATGCCGTCTTTCAAACGCTAGTTCAAATCCTGCCGAACGAGATTTTTCTCTATATATACCTCCGCTTGTTTCTGCGTGGTATATTGACACAGTATCGCTCGTGTGGTCAGAACATACCAGAGGAAAATGAAATGGCTGGAGACCAATGCCTGAGGCTCACTGGTGTGCTCGGTGCTAGGAAGAAACATGGCTTGTAACCAGGCTACCTTCTGTCTTGTATTATGCCTGTGAGTTCTGTTGCAACTATCAAGGAAGAGTTTTAGATCGAGGTTTATATCTGAATTGATTGACCTGTATATATAGTAAGCACAGTGGTATAAGTGAATGTTTCCATTGCTGAGTAAGTTTAAACTTCTGAAGAGTAGAGTGTGTTGTCTAGTACTTGCTTGGGTAATCGTTGAAGCAACCACTTTTGTTGAGTTACTGTTAACCTGAGGTGATTTGTTGTAGTAGATCCTCAGGTACAAATACCATAGGTGGGGTTAAGATAGATCAGAGAGTAGTATAGGGTAAGTAATGCTACTTGATGTATATAGTAATGTATCTCATTGAGGATGCCTACTGTTTGAAGACCTTTATGTGCTGGATGTGGGTGTAGAATTTTAAATTACCGTTAAGGTATATAGTAGACCTAAGAATTTGTTCTCATTTTGTCTTACAATGTGAGAATCATTAATCATTGTACTTAGTTGAACATTTGCAGTTCTGTTCAGAAACAGCATCATGTAGGTCCTGTTAATATTAAGAGTGAGTTTACTGGTAGTCATCCAAGTAGATATCATTATAAGCTCCTCATTAACAGTGTTACTGAGAGAATTCGGATTTGAATGGGAAGTAACAAGTTGTGTAATTAGCAAACAACAGTCATTGATGTATATGAGGAAAGGCCGGGAACACCTGAAATTTTTGTATGCAAAATCTTATCTTATCTCGCCTTATCTTATGTTTGGGTATAAGGCAGATACTGCAGGTGAAAGTGTGTTGTGGTGGTCAAGGCGTAAGGTATCAGGCAGCTCACACACATACACATACTATGGGACAGCTGCCATGTTAACTTTTAATAAGCAGAAGGTTGAGGAAGGAAAAAGAGGGACTTAATACCTAATTAGAGATGAACTTTATTTGATGCTGATGAGTAGGTAGTGAAGAGGACACGGCGAGGGAAGGTGGGGCCGGGGGGGGAGGGTGTAAGTGTGAAGTTTCAGGTCAACAGGAAAGAAATTAATCCCACAACCTTCCGACCCCAGCCTTCCGTAGTGACCTTTGACCTCCCTGCTGCCACCTGTATAATCATCCACTTGTGCTCGTGGAGCTGGAGCTCCAGCTCTTGGGGTCTCATTTTGTATCCACTATTTGACCGGTGTGATGTGTGCAGAGCCCCCAGGGGCTCTCTTGTTACACTTGAACTCGACTGTAGAGTTAAACTGTTAAGAGCCTCAGAACCTCTGTTAGTATTTCCCAGTGATGTTACCTCTTACCTGTCCTTTATTTATATTAATTCCTAGATTACATCTGTTTTCTTCCTCCCTGTCTTCATCTCGAAGATATGTTCCCCCTTTTTGGCACAGTTACTGCACTCACTCTCAGTTGATGATGTATAACTAGTCTTGTTTTTATTTTACCCACCCTTGCAACCTTGCAATATCAGGGTTGAAGTCAATCAGTATTTTATTTGGTCACCTGCATAGCCTTTCGTCTCACGTAGCTGAACATGTTTGTGGATGTTCGATATCAGCTCTTGGGTCGCGTCTCTCTCATTAATCAACCAGTTATGTGCATCCTTGACGTATATCTGAATTAATTTCTGGTATTTGTTTCGACCATATTGTTCCCAGGTGGGTTCCACTCACTGCCTTCACAATATTGTTCCCAGGTGGGTTCCACTCACTGCCTTCACAATATTGTTCCCAGGTGGGTTCCACTCACTGCCTTCACAATATTGTTCCCAGGTGGGTTCCACTCACTGCCTTCACAATATTGTTCCCAGGTGGGTTCCACTCACTGCCTTCACAATATTGTTCCCAGGTGGGTTCCACTCACTGCCTTCACAATATTGTTCCCAGGTGGGTTCCACTCACTGCCTTCACAATATTGTTCCCAGGTGGGTTCCACTCACTGCCTTCACAATATTGTTCCCAGGTGGGTTCCACTCACTGCCTTCACAATATTGTTCCCAGGTGGGTTCCACTCACTGCCTTCACAATGAAGTTGTTTCTTAGATATCTCGTTGTAGTTTAGTCTTCATTTAATGTCCCAGTTATTTTTAAAAGTCCATTTATTTAATAACCGTGTTAAGATCTGTGTTTATGTTCTTATTTTGATGAGTCTATGTATACTCACCAATCTGTACTCACTTCTGATTGTAGAGGTCGAGTCTTAGCTCCAGGCCCCGCCTCTTGCCAGATTCGATCTCTCGTAGTATTGTGGGCCCTATCGTATCTGCTCTTTCAACCATATACAGAGGCTACCTTCACCACTCCTTCATCAAGATCATTCATTTTTCCGGCCACTGTGAGACGGAAGAAATTCTTCCTGACATCTCCTTTGTGTCTGGAACTTCCATCTATGTTCCCCAGTTCCCGTTTCTCGTCTCTTAAATAGCTTGTCCCTGTCTATCCTATCAATTCCCTGTGTATAGTGTATGTTGTTATAATGTTTTCCCTGGTTCTTCTGTCCTCCGTTTCCTAAGATCCAATTCTGTTAGCCTCTCCTCGTAGTTCATGCCACTTCGCTCAAGAACAAGCCTCGTTGCATGTTTTCTGCCCATTCTCCAGTTTTCTTAACATGCTTGTTTAGATGAGGGTTTCATACTGGTGCTGCATACTCAAAGATGAGCCTACCTGGCAAGGTATGCATATCAGAGAAAGTGGTCTGTAGTTTATTGCCTAGTGTCAGTCTCCTTTCTTAAGTATTGCCACTACATTTACTGTCTTCCAAATCTTTGTTAATTTGTTTTTTAGGTACGTGGAGTTTACCTGGAGATGGTTTCGGAGGTCAACGCCCAAGCGGCCCGGTCTGAGACCAGGCCTCATGGTGGATCAGGATCTGATCAACCAGGCTGTTACTGCTGGCCGCACGCAAGCTGACGTACGAACCACAGCCCGGTTGGTCAGGTATTGACTTTAGGTGCCTGTCCAGTGCCTTCTTGAAGACAGACAGGGATCTATTGGTAATCCCCCTTATGTATGCTGGGAGGCAACTGAACAGTCTTGGGCCCCGGACACTTATTGTGTTGTCTCTCAATGTACTCGTGGTGCCCCTGCTTTTCATCAGGGGAATGTTACATCTCCTGCCGAGTCTTTTGTTTTCATATGGAGTGATTTTCGTGTGCAGGTTTGGTGTCAATCCCTCCAGGACCTTCCAAGTGTATATTATCATGTATCTCTCTCGCCTGCGTTCGAGGGAATACAGATCAAGGACCTTCAACCGTTCCCAGTAGTTTAGGTGCCTTATCGCACTTATGTGTGCCGTGAAAGTTCTTTGTACACTCTCCAGGTCTGCAGTGTTGCCAGCCTTGAAGGTGGCCGTCAGGTATATATAAGTACAGTTATACACATTTAGGTTATTACACTTATCATACATAGTAATGTATGCGTAAATTACCTAGGATAACCCACAAAAATCTACGTGACTTATTTCCATTGACGTCCCTGGTAACTGTACCTTATCCAGTACTCATCTAATTGTGGTTGCAGGGGTCGAGACTCAGCTCCTGGCCCCGCCTCTTCACTGATCGCTACTGGGTCCTCTCTCTCTCTCTCTGCTTCCTGAGCTTGGTCATACCTCTTCTTAAAACTATGTATGGTTCCTGCCTCCACTACTTCACTTGCTAGGCTATTCCACTTGCTGACAACTCTATGACTGAAGAAATACTTCCTAACGTCCCTGTGACTCGTCTGAGTCTTCAGCTTCCAGTTGTGACCCCTTGTCCCCTCTCTGGAACATCCTATCTCTGTCCACCTTGTCTATTCCCCGCAGTATCTTGTATGTCGTTATCATGTCTCCCCTGACCCTTCTGTCCTCCAGTGTCGTCAGTCCGATTTCCCTTAACCTTTCCTCGTACGACATTCCCTTGAGCTCTGGGACTAGCCTTGTTGCAAACCTTTGTACTTTCTCTAACTTCTTGACGTGCTTGACCAGGTGTGGGTTCCAGACTGGTGCTGCATACTCCAGTATGGGCCTAACATACACAGTGTACA